ATCATATATCAAGTGGGATCGGACTTAATGAAAATTTTACTTGCTACCAGCATTTAATATTTAAAAAACATTTCTACTATCAAAATTAATAATGCCTTTTTATAATAATTTATAATATAAAAGTTATTTTTAATAAAATCTCATAATAGATGGCATCACATACAATTTTAATTTTGTGCTAATATGTCTTAGTGTTTCTTAAACATAAATATTTTTTGCCAGCAAAGTTATGTAACTCATTACTGGATCTGTTAAAAAATGATTTGTGATTATGAAACAAGAGTTCAAATACATAATATTTGAAATTTCAGTTCATGGCTTATACTATCAAATGATTTATTCCACAATCATTGAAACATATATTAAAAAATAAAATTTATAAATTATTTTTTTTCCTATTAATAAGATAATGGAAAATAAATAAATGTGAAAAGTTAGATAAACCTTCATTTTCATTTATATGACATTTTTAACACTTATAAAAAAATATTTAGTTAAATTAATAATAAAATCAAATATACAAACCCAAAACTTTGAGGCAACATCAACAGATTTCCTGTGTTATACATGCTCAAATTTGTTGGAGCTCCTATGTCATTTAAGAGTTCTTTTTGGAATGCTTCATATGGTATATCTTTTGTGTCACATGTCAAAAATAATGTGGAAAAAAGTGAAGGGCGTGTTAACCGCATCACTGACAAAATAAAATGTTATTTATTAAAAATGGCTATAGTCAAAAATTAAAAGCATAATCCCCTTTTTATTAATGCAGATAATTTGAACTTTGCTCAATTCAATTTATCACAATATTTAATTTTTTTTTGAGTTTCCTTATTAAATTCATGTAATACGACCTTTTCAATAGCTGAATTATCAACTCGGTAATGTGTCTCTTTATACATCATCTCATTGGTGTGTTAGAATTCTTGTAAATATATTTTATCTATGAATTTAAACTAACTGCTATCTACAATTTTACAGATAATGTTAATCTAATTAAATTTTTGACTTGAATATATATACATTTTAGCATAAGTTGTTCAAGTTTAAAAATGATTGTTTAAACTTATATTTGAATACTATTGCACAGTATTGGAGATTGTGAGATAATTTTTGAGGATAAATATTAATTCTTATACTTTATTCATAGCTTGAATTGTCAGACTAATTTGCCAAATTGTATAAATCTCTCTAACACTGTAGTGGAATTATTTTGCAGTTTAATAAAAGGATACTTTTTATTTACAAAGAATACTTGTATATTCTTATCAATAGATTTAAAGAAATTTTATAATGTAAAGAATTAAAACTATTCTTTACATAAAAATTTTTCATATTGATATATCATCAGAAAATTTGTTGATTTCTTTTATATAATTTTGTCACTGATCTTTCTAATAGTCAGTAAGACATTTACTATTTGAAATCACACACAAAATATTGTTTGTTTTATTATTGTACAGTAACTGAAGACTGATATCATTAGTCATCCTATGTTTGTCCTAATATTTTATAACATTAGAATTTTCCTTGTATCTTTTCTTAGCTATTTTTCTGCTGTTTTCTGTTCACTGCATTATCTCAGTAAAATAAATGTTAGTAAAAATCATTATTTAATTTCAGAACAATTATATTACTATAGTTGAAAACTTTCTTAACTGTTTGTCAGGTGCAACATGTCCTGTGGACAGACAATTTTTGCTTTTAGATTAAATAATAATTATCATTGTTTTTCATTATCATATATTATAATTATTTATTTGAAAAAAAATGATATATATATGAAACAACAATACAAAACAATAAGGGAAATAGGGAAAAAATATTATATAACATATCGCTACTTTGAGCTATTTGAGTCGTTATTCGAACCACATATTGTGATTCACTTTTATGATCACTTTCTAAAATTTTTCTGCACTTAGGTTGCCTTCACTTTCATCTCGTATAGTAGTTTTGGCATTTTGCTTTTCCTCTTCCAAATGATCTTGAAGAATGCAAGGCATGTCTTGTAGGATGAACCTATAAAAATATTGTACTTGCAATTAAAAGTGTAAAAGTTATATAAATCAATAATAAAAATGAACTAATCTATTCCTATAGTAAAAAATATAAAAACACAAACATAACAGTTGNAAAAAATTGTCGGAATACTTATCGAGTGTATCCGTTCGAAGACTCAAACGCTCTCTTGAGCATTGCCAAAAACACCTGGGATGTTGGCTACAAGGCACCATATCTATCTTGGCGCTATCGAGCCTATCCTTTTATGCGCTACACCAATTTGGGCCTCAGCAACAAAAAATGTGTATATTTAGCGAAAACTAAAAGCTCAACGGATCGCCGCCCTGTGTATCTGTAGGGCCTACTGCACAGCTCCAACTTCGGCCTTGCTGGTGATTGCTGGTCTCATGCCGACGCACATTAAGGCGAGGATGGCTATGTGGCTGTGGCACGCCCGCAACCACTCAACAAGCTCCTGTAACAGCTGCAAAGACTTCTTTAGTTTCTTCATCAAGAATGAAAAGGAAGACCTGAAGCGCTACAAGACAGAAAGTAAATCCTACGAACTTAGCAATAGTCAGGAGTACCCATGGCTCCAGGACCGTTCCTCTCAAGTTGAGAATATTGACATTTCCATCTACACCAGTGTTTCTCAACGGGGGCGATATTGCCCCCATGTGGGCGTTTTTCCATGTTGAGAGGGCGATTAGTAACAATTTATATTTTGGGGGCGAAAAACAATTTTCTGGGCGATATAGTAAAACATATTAAGAATAATTAGATATTTTATTTGTTATATCATACAATAATTAAACAAATAACATTATACTAGTCACTAGTTTATTCAATGCAATATGAATTTGGCATTAGCCTTGGCCCTCGGCATCAGAATTTTAAAGTGAAGGGGGCGATACTACGTAATGGTTTTGTTGAAGGGGGCGACGATACATTAGAGGTTGAGAAACCCCAACATAGGGTTTCCCAACATGGGGTCCCACAGGGGGGAAATTCGAAAATGGACTTGTCTAGAGTTTAAGTTAATTAACCGTATAGCTGCTGTATATATTAGGGGGGTATAAGAATTTTAGAAAGGCTTTTAGGTGGGAAACACCTAAAAGCCTTTCTAAAAGGGTTGGGAAACACTGCTCTAGTTTCATTGAGTCTTTTAAGACATTTACTTTGGACACATTGTCTGGGAAAGTGCCATTTTTCTTGTATCATAAATCGCTTATCATACAAGAAAATGTTCACGTAGAAAACATCGATACAACCGGGACAAGAAGCTTTTAAATCAATATTTATTTCGCTTCTTACACTGTTGCAACTGTTTTTGATCAGTTATAGCTATTAAAGGTAGCATAAGTTAAAATTCAGCTATTGAACATGATCAGCATATCTCATGATCATGGCTACCCTATAAATACAATATTCAAATGCTTTGGAACTGTTTAGTGTATGAATGTATCCATTGGTTTATCTTGCTGTATTAAAGCTGCTTTACCAGACAATGTACTCTTTGCAATGGCAAATTATACTTTTAGTTGTTTGAGATCAATATATTTATCAACATTTCTAATAGATAGTCTTCTATATTTATCATTATTAAAGATCTCAATGGTAATTAAAGTAATAATCTAGAATGATATAATAATCCCATACAGTAGAGCATCAATTATCCGAATCAATTGGGGACTGGGGTTGTTTGGAAAATTGGTTTTTCAGATAACCGATTATGTATGAAAAAATGTATAGTAATAAAATTCAGTAGGCAAAACATATAATACAGTAAGAAATTATAAAAAACAGTGTGTTATATAACAGAACATGTATGAAATATTAAGGCCTAAAAGATTTGACAACATAACTGACTCAACCTAGCACTCTTTGACCTATGTAGGCCTTTGTGCCACAAAAATCTTACATCTTAAAATTTGTGAAATTCTAATAAATGTTTAATTTTAAATACTAATTAATCCTCCTATTATTAATTAGGAATATTTCATAATAAAAAAAATAAGCTAGTATTGTTACGTTACTATATAAATGTTATGTATAATATATTTTATTTTTGTGCTTCATTTTATTTTCTCTATGCTTTGTCACATTGGTGAAAATATCTTTTCAGTTCAGCTTGGTTTTGTTAATAAATTTAACCAAAACTAACTTTATTAACATTTGGCAACAATGTTACCAGCTGATTTCAACAAATATAATAAATATTTATTCTTTTGTTTGTAATAAAATAAAGAATAAAATAAAATACTGTATAAACAATTATGCTATGTTAATGTTCAGTAAATGACATCTTATTTACTGCACTTTGATAGTTGCAGGTGTGGTAGATGTATGTTATGCCTAAATCAGTAAATATCTGTACAGTACATTACATACATATATACATACATACATATTTTTTCTTATATTGAAACTGAACTATAAAACTAGATGGTTGTTATAGCAAACAATTGCTGTAATTAATTGGGTTATTATTATAGTTAAGTTAGAAACTAAGTGATTTGGTATTTTGGGATGTTGAAATATGTTATAGCAAAAAGCTATATAAAGAGTAGTGTGCATTTTGTTTCTTTTTTGTTTTGAAATCATTTGAAAATAGTCTCAATATTTAGAAATAGTTTTATAAACAAAAATACATGCTATTTAATTGTCTTATGTTCTATATAGTATTATTTCTTGCAGTTCTTACATTCATTCATCTTTCCTTGACAATGAGAATTTTGATCAGTATTGCTGTAAAACAAGTTACAGAATCACAGTACAATTTTCAATTTTTCTTTTAATCCAATCTGATAACTGTTTGAAATAAAAATATTATTATATATTTTAGATGTACTAAGCTTGCATATATCCTGAGAAACATACGATTAAAATAAAACTGTTAATAAATAGAAATGTATATTAANTGTTTATATGTAAATTTAATATTGAATTTTACTTACTTGTAATTAATATTAATAAAAATTAATTTTTTTTAACAGAAATTCTTCAGTTGCAGTATTTACAATATTATTACATAAAATGGAAGTTTATAGATATGTTAAAGAAGAACTTTTAGCCAGAAAGTCATAGGAATTAAATTATTAATTATTTGTAAATTTAAAACAACAAAAAAAATCTTAATTATGTTAAATTCTGCAATTTCATCCAATGCAACTTCAATATCTATTGGAAAACAGGTAAAAATATTAAAATTATGCTTTGAATAGCTTGAATGAGTAAACATACTTTTAGATAATTTAAATATTCTGTTTTACTAGTTAATCATGATTTTTATTAATAAATTTTATTGAAATTTAAAATAACATTCCTAGAAAGGTATAAAATCTTCTACTTTCCTAATTATTTTAATTATAGTTATTTGAGCTATTGATAAAATTCATATTTTTAAATGAGTTTCATGATTCAAGGAAATTGTACAACTAAAATGATAAATTTAAAACAGCATTTCTGTATGGAAATTAAAATATGTTTTTTGGCCATTGATTGTCATTATTACATCTTTATTAACAATTGGCAGTAAAAATTTATTGAGTTTTGCTATTTTTAAAGTTTTATTCAAATATGTAATGTATTTTAAAGCTTGGATGTCAATGAAGGTTCTAGTTGAAGATGTTAGCCTGCCATTCTCAAATCTAATCCATGCAAGAAACCCAGGAAATTTTTTGGATATATTGGACTTTCTTCCTTACCACCCAGCTGTTCCCCATTGTGGGCCTGATCAGACCCATAATGGACATGCAAATAAAAGACTTTTTAATGCCAACAGAACAAAGAATTTTTAAAAATTAAAAATTTGTTTATCAGCTAGTTATGTGATAAACAAAATTTATAAATCTTTAATAAATAAAGAAAAACAAGCATACAAGGACAAAAATATATAAAACAATAGCAATACTCACTCTACTTTATGAAAGTATGATCTGGATAATAAAAACAGTTAATATACAAATAATAGAATATGTAGAAATTAGATTATTCTGTCAATTAGTTGTCCATAGACTCGAAGTTCCAAACAACAAAAGACAAAATCTTAAAATTACCCCAATTAATCATACAATTGTTAAATATAGAATGTTGTGACCATGAAGTATGGACAAAGAAAATGTCAAGAACTTTCAACTATCATCCAGTACAGAAATTTTTCATAAAGTTAAAGAAAATAATTATTAACTCAGTCGCAACTTATTTAGATACAGTCAAACTTTGTTGTAATACCTACTTAAATAACACTATTCTTGCAAAATATCAATATTTGTGAATGGATTTTTCCCATAAATGTTAATAAAGATCCTTAGTGTTTGTGAATTACTAAATGTATGATTTTGTAATGTAGCAGACATTATCATCATCAGAAATTTGAAATCTCAAACTCAAACTTATGTAGACCTCATTATTATATATAATTCTTACTGTTTAATGTACTTCAGATACATTAAACAGTACATTACACTCAATTTAAGACACAGCAGAATGGATAATGTATTGATCAACTTTCATGATTTAAAGTTTCATGAAAAAATTTTTCTTTATTAAATTAATCATTTTTCATGAATATTCTTTCTGAATAACTGCCAAAATATTTTGTATCCAATCTAAGGAGAGAAAAAGAGTCATAAAAAAGTTGTTTATGAAGTCTTATTTTCAGTATTTTCAAGAAAATTTAATTGGATAAATGATCATATTGTAAGTTCAAGTGATTAAGAGTAAGTAAAAAATTTACAGATTTGTAAGCAGTAGTAACAGGTAATTTAAATATTTTGTAGATATGATTTTAATTTATAGTTTGGCAATCTCAAGATCAAAGATTCGTAGATTGCTGAGTAACCTGTCAAAAGTTCGTATTTGAAAACTAATGATCTTAATTTTAAAAAAATACAAAAACAAATAAGTTAATTTCTTTGTGTTCTTATTTGCCTGTATATTTAATACATTTACATTTTGCCCTTGCATTATGAACTATTCTTAGCTTCTTGAACAGGAATTTCTTCTTCTTATCAATGCTTGTACACTCTCTTAGTGGTGTATGAAAGCATGTGTCAATTGCATCACTGTTTATTATGCTGATAGTAAGTCAAATGGTTATGGCTGTTAGTAGTTTTAAGTTTGCATCAAATTTATAAGGTATTATAATAAATATATTAAATAACACCTTTATTTCTAGACATATTAGAATCTAAGGAAAAAATCTAGGAGTTTTCAAGCTATATTGGGAAGTATGAAATTATGGAAAAACTTGGTAAGGTTGTGTATGATTATGCACAGACATGAAAAGTCAAACTTGCAGTATTGAGCATCATTATGAAACCAAGAATTTTAGTTTAATGAGTAAATTCAGTAAGGAAGAATGATCAGTATATATGAAAAAATGTATAGTAAACCTCACTTACATATATACCTGGGGTATACAATTTCTGGCCACATAAGTGAGATGGTCACCTAAGTGGGGTTATGAAAAAATTGACATACAGAACTATAATTGTACTGTACTGAATCCTGTGATCTGTTTAATAAAAATTTCAGCAAACTGTTCTAAAACTATACAACAAAGCTCAGTTCTGTTTAGTGTTTTAAACAATTTGTTGAATTTAGGAATGCAGGATTTTCCTGTTATGTTGGCCTGTCACTTTACAATGCTTCTATCTTGGCTATAAGTGAAATGGCCATTTAAGTGAGATGGCCAGTGGCCATCAAGATGGAGCTTGATTTATATTAAAACTTATCCAGAATCGTTTTGCAGCAAATCAACCAACTGAACAATAATTTTGATATTTCAAATAACTTGATTTTACTTTCCTGCCTCTATTATATATAACGGGGAAGGTATGGTGATTGGTCAAAAAATGACCCCCTCAAGATTTTTACGTTTTTGGACTTAGGATGCCTAGAAACATTGAGAAAATGCAAAGAAAAAAATTAGGGTTTTTTTTTCTATATGTATGGATGTGTGTGCCCCTTACCCACATCCATACATACAGAATATCCATGTGGGTTTTATTCACTCTCTTTGAAGCTTAATAACTCTTGTGCTTTTTGTTGAAAATTTTTGAAATTTTGCAGGGAGGTTTGTATATTAGCGGATTGATGTTATTAAAGTTTGATGGTTAAAGGTTGAAGTGATGGGGAGATAAAGGAGCGGTCGTGTTTTCTATCTTGAGTAGGGTTGGACTTAAATGATGTTTTACTCATTATTGGCTTTTACATTTTTTTATAAAATCTATCCCTACTCACAAGCTTTTTGCCATTTTATAATAATTAAAAATATAAAACATTTTAAAATAAAATTATCATGATGGATGGCACTACCAGAATTTAAAATGTTGTCGGGAAAGTTAAGCAACTCATTGCTGGATTTTTTGGTATAGCAGTAGTATCCATGAACAACACTGAAAATCCAGATTTTTATAGTTTTTTGTAATTACAACTTAGTTGTTTTTTAGTTGTGAAAGTTAGTTAGGTTAATTTATGGCATTTATAGTGAAAATGTAATATACATAATAAGAAGTGTTGTAAATATAATCAAATTTAAAAAATCAGTGTCAATGTGCACCAGTAACATATAGTGTAGGAAGCAATTTTTTTTTACTGTGATTTCAAGCTCATCCCATGATAAAAATTTGTATATAAGCTTATTAAGTGTCTGAATTTAACATAAAATTATTTTTTTAAAGTGATGTTTCTGAGATTTTCAAAAGCCAAAATTTTGAAAACTGATGACAGTTTTTTTCCTGAAAGGATGTTTTTCTTACATGTCAAATAAAAGAGCTTTCAAATGAATGAAAAAAACTCTTGACAGATGGTTGCTGATTTACAACAATTTCCATATATCAGAATGTGAATAATTTGTGTTTTTGACTATTTTTAAAATTATATATATAAACTGATTCCAAAAATGATAAAAATCTGGACTTTCAATTTTCTCCAAAAGTGCTATACCCAAAAATCAAGTTAATCTGAAACATCAAGGTTTCTACTTCTGGTTGATTTGATATGAAATTATCCTTTAGTTTTACAACAGAACTTCATGGGTGGCCACATAACTGAGGTGGTCACAAAGCAAAGTTTTACTGTATATTGAATTATAAGTGACAAAAGGAAACTTTGCTGATATAAATAAATTAGGATCAATGCTCAAAAACACTGGCTTTATTGCATTCCTATGTATTATGAAATATGGGAAGCATTTACAGATGACAATTTCTTGCTCTTACTGTTCCACTTAGAATCAGTGATATGTCAAAAATATATATATATATTGAAGAACAAATGAAAAAAGATAATGATCTGTTGTGATGTTTTCAGTATAATTCCTGATGAAATTACTGATAATAATAATGCTTGATTAGCAACAGCTTGTTGTGGTCAAATTTAATCAAAATAAATAACAGCTATATTTAATACTACTAAGGATTCATAGTTTTTCAGAAATTTTTAAAATCACAAAATTTAGTGAAGGAAGAATATTAGACTCAAAGAAACTTATCTGTAATAACTGACAGTGCCATAGCCATGTGGAATAAAAACATTAGATCTATAAAATTTTTATAAAGTGAAATTTGTTGCCAGCTTTTTTATCATTTTATTCTATAATTAATTGAAGTAAGTTTGCATACTAAAGCATCTGCAAAACAATTAAATGAAATTGTGAATACAGTAGAACGTCAATTTTCCGAAAGTCAATCATCCGAAACGTCAATCATTCAAAAGAATTCCAGTCGGCAAATTTAAATTTTCGCCAGTGCTGTGGTGCTTCAATCTTTGTCTATGTCTTGGACTACTTAAATATTTTACGTTTTTGATACTAAATTAACATCTGAAGTATAATTTTTTATTGTTTTTATATTTTTCAATATATTTATTTTGTTTGTACAAAATAAAAAAATAATTTTTTACGATACAATAGCCTTCGTTAGGCTTAACATCGACGAAAATTCAACGCGAAGCAACACGCAACGGAGAAAAATTTCAACATCGGATACGTTAAACTATTTTTTCGTACATAAATCGGTTATCTGAAATATCAGTTATACTCACAACCCCAGTCCTTAATTGATTCGGAAAATCGACGCTCTACTGTATTATAATAAAAATAAATTTAATTGAAGTATGTTTAGCTGTTATACACAGAGTTCAAATCCTTATTGGAAGACATGGACTTTTTCAAAAAATGGCAATCTATTACACTCAAAAGTTTAATATTCCAATGGTTAAGTAGAAGTAAAATTTTATGTTTTTGTAGCCTGTCTTGATAAAATTAAAACTGTGAATGTATGTAATTAAGAAAATTATCGTCAATAATGGATAAGTCAATTTGTCAGAGATTATTTGATACTAAAGAAGTGAAAGTGTTAAATATGCTTGATGCATTTCAAAGGATTATTAAGGTTAAACATCTATTGTTATATTATTTATGGATTGAACATTGTTCACCTTATCAAAAAGATCAAGATACCAAATTAAGTTATCTTCAAATCACACTTCATGTGTCTTTATTCATGATTTTTTATTTGGCATTTTCATTCCAATCTTACTATTTGATAACTTAATAATAAATATTCAACATATTTATTTAATAATTACAAACAAATCTTAATACAATTTTGTTTGTAAACACAGTTTTTCAAATTAAAAAAATGTTTTAAAACAAAAATACAGGTAATAAAAAAACTGTATTTGACACGATTATGTTAGCAAACATACAAATTTTACAAATATTTATTGTATTAAATAGTAATATAAATATTTTAATTGAAATATTTCAGATGACATATCTTCTGACATTCACTGTTATTTGATTACTGGCTCATAGGTGGCAACAGGATCTCGTTCTTCTCTGTTGACATCAAGAATAGAGTTTACTTCAAGTGAAAATGAATGTTCACTTGCTACTCAAGCATTACAAGCAAAATATAATCATTTTGGAGGTGATGAAAAGACTAACAAAGCATTAGAAAATAGTGTCACTTTTAATGGTCAGATGAAAGGAAGTAATGGAATGGATCATAATAAAAATTCACAAGGTTAGTGTTTTTTAACTTAATAGTAATTATATTTATAGTTATTATACAACTGAATACAGTAGAGTCCCAAAAACTTGGCACTTGATAACCCGGCAGTCCAAATAACTCGGCCAAACCCTGACAGAGCGAAAAAACCCATAGTTAATTTTCCTTATAAACAGATTTATGTTTTATTAAGTATTTTTCTGAGGTCTGTCTTATCAGGTAAATTACTGTACACTGTGTATTCATTAATTTTCATTTTCATGTAGTAATGGCTCTATGCCTTCATAAAGTACATACTTTTCCTTTATTTAAGGGTATTTGGGCAGTTTATTCTCTGTTATGTTCTCAAGCAAACAATACATATAAGTACAGTACAGTATTTTCTGAGGACTCCACACTCTTACTTATTCTTTTTTAACCCCATTTCCGATAACCCGGCATTTTCACAAACTCGGCCACCCTTTCGTCCACATTAGGCCGAGTTTTCGGGACTCTACTGTATAAGTAAATTTATTATTTTTATAAATTGCAAATTTCACTAATTGACAAAGTTACAAATCAAGAAGAAGGTATTGAAACTTTATTGGTGCAAACATAATGGCAATAATAATAAATGATTACAATATCATAGAAAGGGATAATTTTCTGTGGAACAACAGTACAATTTAAATGAACATTGTAAGATTTCCTCTTGTATGGATACATGTAGCAACAAGGTTGAGCATGAAGGCATACAGGCATTGTATTCTACTCTGCAACAAATTTGCTATGTATGCTACTACTGCTGCTCCAGATCACTCAAACTTATAGATGGCAAAAACTGACATTTCATCTGGTCCCACAGATGTTTGATAGGTGACAAAGTAGGATACTAGGCAGGCCAAAGAAGTGTGGCAATGTGACAGAGACATTATGAGGAACCGTAGCTGTTTACATCTTAGTATTATCCTGCTGGAAAATGGCTGTTTGCAATCCTGCCATAAAAGACAATATGTGAGGGACAGGATTTCTTGAACGTATTATTATTAGGTGACTGGCTTTCATATGATATGGCTTCCCAAACCAGCAACAGCAATGGAGACAGTACACCATTCAACAGTAAAAACAGGATTGAAGCACTCACCAGTAGTCATTCATTCTCAAACAGAATCAGAATCACTTGTCAATTGTAAGGGTTATATAGACAGAGTTATATAGGTGTAATTGACAGAGTTATATAGGTGGGGTTTCTTCCTATCTCTGGAAAAGAAACTCTTGCAGCTATTTGTGCATGTCGCATGATAAGACAGTCATCTTTTCTGATGGTCTGTCTTTGGCATCCAGAACCAATATGACATATATGTGTGCTCTTGCTTATCTACTGCGTCAACACCATCTTACAGTCAGGTCAGAAAGGCATAGATGACAGACCATTTGGCAAAACAGCCATACTGCTTCTCTTAGTTCAATGGTAGAACTATCTTCATGTATTTGTCTTTGTTTGCATTGTATAGGCATACACAGGGATGAGGAGTCAGGAAAAATACACAACTTTTGACTCCCGAGTCAGTATTTTTAAAAATTGACTCAGACTCCTGATTTCTTTCACTAATGCGCCACGAGTAAGTTAGTAGTTTAATAGAAATAAAGCTGGCCATATAAGCTTTTGATAAAAATAGTGTTTTTATTTATTATATACAAAAAGTATAATATTTAAGAAGAATATTTAAATTTGAATGAAAAAAAAACATTGTAAATAGTATTTACAAATCATTTTTATTAATTTATACAGTAATATAATTTAGTAACATAATATTTTAATCATATAATAGGACTTTTATGATATTTAAACTGTTTACATGAAATAATAAAAAGGAAAAAAGCAGCAAAAAAAGAACAGAAAATATTGACTTTGAATGCAGAGATTTTAAATTTTAATCATTTTGTATGAAAATGTTAACTTAGAACACTCTTTAATTTTGGGTTTTTGCATATGCATAATACAGTCTGTTTCAAAATTATAAACACACCCAACTTTTTTCAATAACAAAAACATTAACAATTGTAATGTATTTATTATATTAGTATGTTGTTTACAACATCAAGTTAAACATTTTCTGAAATTTTTCGAGCAATCTGACAATCACAAAAAAAATTATCAGATTTTCAATTTTTGATTGTTTCAAAAGTATAAACACAGGTGCATAAAAAATGATTTGTGATGTTTCAATATTTTGTAGGTCCACCATTTGATTTAATTAATTCAAATACTCTGTCAGGCATACATTTTACTAGTTTTTGAAGTTGTTCTTGTTTAATATTTTCTCAACAATCCATGATAGCTAATTTAATTTCATTTACAGTATTGTATTGTCTGTATTGGCCATAAACAAGAAGACTCAAAATGCCCCAAACATTCTCTATCGGGTTCATATCAGGGATCCGTGATGGCTAATCAATTACATTAATTGCTTTTTCAGCAAACCAATTTTTAGTTGACTTTGATGCATGAACGGCAGCATTATCCTATTGGAATTGCCAGTTTTCTCGCCCAGTAAGTGATCCAAAAGTTATTAAATTTTGATACAAACGTTCTTGATAGTTTTCTGAATTCATTCTACCTTCTACAAACATAATGTCTGTTTTACTTCCCCAACCAAATCCTGCCCACACCATCACAGATCCTCCACCTTGCTGTTTTTTTCATTCTGACTACTTTCTTCTTTTTCAAATCATACCAGTAGTGACTATAACTGTCAGGCCCATCCAAATTCCATTTTTTTTCATCTGAAAAGACTATTTGTTTCCACTCCTCTTTCCATGTCATCTTGTCTTTGGCCCACTTTAATCTAGCTGTTTCTTGCAATTGTGTTAATTTCGATTTTTGCCATTTTTGTAAATTTGGCATTTTTATGATTATGCATACATCTCCATACAGTTGCTGGTGAAACTGCAATTGGCAATGCTGATGCTGATTCTCTGACAGACAACTTGTTGACCGTCAATAGCCAAAAAAACTTTTCTTTCATTTCTAGGTGTAATGAGTTTAGGCCTTCCACTTCACTTATTCCTACCATAATTTTCATCCTGAGTTAACACATTTCTCACAGCTCATGTAGATCAGTTTACAGCTGCTGAAATTTGTCTTAGATATTGTCCTGCTCTTTTTAGTTGGTAAATTTTTCCAACTCTGTTAGTGGTTTTCCATGAGGCATTGTTTTAAATTACAAAAAATTGTTTAAAATTGGTGCCACATTATTATTAATGAGTGATACTCCCCTTTGGTGACAATTAATTAAACCAATAATTAATAAAAAAAAAAATTATTGTACTAATTTTATGCACCTGTGTTTATACTTTTGAAACACTCAAAAATTAAAAATCTGTGATAATTTTTTTTTTTGTAATTGTCAGATTGCTCTAAAAATTTCAGAAAATGTTTAAATTGATGTTGTAAACAACATACTAACATAATAAATACATTACTATTATTAATGTTATAAAAAAAGTTAGGTGTATTTATAATTTTGAAACAGACTGTACATATCTAACAATATAATTTTTGCCTTTATAAAACACTGAAGGACTTTATTAAACTTTTATTATTTTATGTATTTTATTTTATGTATAATACATTAATATTTAATACCATACATAATGATATTAATACTGAGGTAAAAAATTTAACGCTTAAAAGATTGAACAAAGTTTAATTAAGAAGAATTTGTTCCTAAAAAAATAGCTTCTATTATTTCCTCTTTCAAGTTAGTACATAAGTGAGATTTGATTAAATGCAGAGCTGAAATAATCATTCAATACTGACTTGGGTAAGAGGCAGTGCAGTAACATGAGCTGCATTTTGTATGATTAAAAAAGTTAAAATAACAGCATTAATGGATTTTAAATTTTTTTAAATGTCAATGCAACATGAGTTGGGATTCAATAAATTTTCTGATTTCCATAAAAGTATTAGATTCCCAACTTCAACTCTCCATCCCTGGGCATGCCTGGCATTCTGTGCTTCAAACAATACATATGCTGAAAATTCAGAACACATTGAGCCTCTACAAAACTTTTTTGTACACTACTGAAATAGTGTTTTCAAGAACCTCGGCATGCCAGGTAGTGCCACCAATTGGACCACAACTGTAATCATTTCCATACCTGTTTGAGACATAGCAATATACTGAGTTTGCAGTAATCAGACAATTTTATCTTGGTACATAACTTTTCGTCAGAATGTATATTAGTAGAAAGATGGTTTCTTCAAAAAAGCTGTGAAAACGAAATATAACAAAGCAGATACTACAATTATAGTAATTTTTTTTTCCACTTTTGCATAACTATCATTTGTGTTATACAGTAGAAGTTTTTTAACTTAACACTTTATAATTTGGAATGACTAGTAATCTGCTAGACTCAGTAAAGTAACTGATAGTTTAGAATTGTCTAATAATAATCTGACATGCTAGTACATTACATATTAAAATATACTATGTTAAGAACACTGGGCAATAACATATTCATTATGTTTTTGCAGGTTTTTCAATTAATCTTAACATAGTAAAGTTATACACTATATCATCTTTACATTGATTAAAGAGCATGATGCAAATCAGATGCATACAGCTGCTGCATGAACAAAATGTATAGCAATGTCCGTAACATTCAAATTACATATAACTTATCAAATTTTTCAAAAATACAAAATGAATATCCAGTATTGTCTTTTGGTAATCTAGAATGTACTTATCTTATAGATGCTGGATTAATTAATTAATTAAACTTTTAAATAAAATGTGCATGTATGTATTACAAATTAAAATTTATTATCAAAAAGACACTTTAAAATATATTTTATTAAAAACTCTTCATAGAAAATTTAATATATTTGTTTTTTTTTATTGTTATATGAATGGCTTGGAATAAGTTGATGATATAAAAATTTTGAAAATTTTTCTCAAATTGCATTAACCCAGAAACAAAGCCAGAGAAACAAAATGTTGTTAGCATTTTTGACCACAAATCATTCATAGGAATTTTTTTTTATATATAAGTTAATAAGCAGTACTATATGGAATATTATATATACAGTGGGTGATCGGTTAATGAACATAATCTGTTCCAAGACTTTGTTCATTAACCGATTATCGATTTATTATAGGTTCCTATGGGAATTTGATTAATTCATTCTGGAGACCCCCAAAAATAAAAAATATATACTTTCTTACTATGTTTACTCATATGTAATAATAAAAATACATATATACACGGTCTTGCATTTTTATTAGTCATGTTTTTTTCCGTTTGTGGGGGTAAAGAATCTGTCCAATGTCGATTGCTTTTCTGTTTTTTTGATTTTTCAGAAGTAATTAATAGTATTGTAATTGTAGAGATCCCTAGGCCTATTAACCTCAACCTGGTTTGGATGGAACCATTTTAAAACTGTTGTTCTGGCATTCTCCCACTTCTTCAAAAGATCTTTAATAGCAGATATCAGCATAAATCTGCATTTTCAGAAGAAAACGTAAAAGAATTGTTTCTGTCAGAAATATTACAAGGGAGTGTTTCAAAGTTCGGGGAAATACTATCCGATCAGTATATACTGGGTAGGATGTTGACGTCTCCCGCGCTCCGAAAAGTTTCAAATTGTTGCCTGAAGACAAAGGAAGATCAATCAGTATTCATCATTTTACGTCACTCCTTGTGTTTGTTCAGTCAAGTGTTCGTTATCTGAACATGGGTTCATTGTCTGATCATAAAAATCTTTTACGAAAGTGTTTGTTATCCGATTTGTTCGTTAACCAATCACCCACTGTACATGTATAATTATTTAAAAGTTTAAAAAATTTTATCTATATATTTAATTTTTATTTTAATAGGAAAACATCTAATAATGAATGGAAACCATGAACTTCATTTACAAGGAGATGGTGTCCCAAATCCTAGAATATCTTTATATCCCCAAGGAAAAGTACATTTGGAATGGAAACAGATACATAAAATTGGAGCTGGCTTAGCAAATCTTGGCAATACATGTTTTATGAATACAGTTATTCAGTGTTTAACATATTGTCCCCCATTGGTTAACTATTTATTACATGACGATGATCATTCAAAATGTAAGATAGATATTTCATTAATGTTATTGATTATATATATCATTAATATAATTTTGTTCAATTTACGATTTTATTTTATTTTACTATATTCAAAATAATTAGGTAAAATAAGTGGATTTTGTATGATGTGTGAACTTCAGAAACATATTAAAAGGGCTCTTGATCGACCAGGAGATGTTATTAAACCTCTTTATATTTATCAAAAATTAAAATGTAAGTTTTCTAGAATGTACTTATCTTATAGATGCTGGATTAATTAATTAATTAAACTTTTAAATAAAATGTGCATGTATGTATTACAAATTAAAATTTATTATCAAAAAGACACTTTAAAATATATTTTATTAAAAACTCTTCATAGAAAATTTAATATATTTGTTTTTTTTTTTATTGTTATATGAATGGCTTGGAATAAGTTGATGATATAAAAATTTTGAAAATTTTTCTCAAATTGCATTAACCCAGAAACAAAGCCAGAGAAACAAAATGTTGTTAGCATTTTTGACCACAAATCATTCATAGGAATTTTTTTTTATATATAAGTTAATAAGCAGTACTATATGGAATATTATATATACAGTGGGTGATCGGTTAATGAACATAATCTGTTCCAAGACTTTGTTCATTAACCAATTATCGATTTATTATAGGTTCCTATGGGAATTTGATTAATTCATTCTGGAGACCCCCAAAAATAAA